AAATCCAATTGTTTTACACAGTTGTTAATGCAATCATTAACCAAACTTTCATCGTATGGTACACTCCAGTCATCTATCAAACTGTCGGGAAACAAGTTTCCAACAGAATAATATGACTGAAGCAATTGATGCCTGGTAGAAAGTGTCATGGACAAGTTTTTATAATTTTTCATTTTTCTAGCACATTCTTTAAAGTAGCTGTGCTTGCTCTCAAATCTCATAGTCCATAAGCGAATTAGTGGTCCAAAGTGGATGATAAGTTGAGCATAGTGTAATAAATAATGGTGTTTTGGTTTCAAGTTATTCTCGGGAAAACAGGACTTTCGGTCTTGCAAATATTCGATTGCAGTTTCATTTAAAATGGCTATTTGTCTCTCTGTTATTTTTGGAGTACAAATAAGCTGAATTAATACTTTTAGTTTAATATATAGACACCAAACTTTTTTATTAGTATCGATGATATATGTTCCCATAATAAGGGGTAGTGTTCTAACTAAAACCCAATTTTGAACGGCGTGGCCACCTATTCTGTCTGCTGTGAGACTGAATGGAGCTGGTTTATCCAATGCGTCTGCACCGAGAAATTTGAAATTTGAAAGTTTTCTATTGAATTGATCAACAGTAAACCATTTGACCTCTTTTATTAGAAATTTTATTATGAGATGAAGGTCATATGAAACAACTCCCTCAAATAAATCATGTCCGATACATGGTGGTAAGCTGGTTACCACGTGGAAATTTGACAAGTTGTTGAATACTGAGTTGGATTTAATTCCCATATAATGACAAAGATCAGGATTTTGACTTAATATTCCGAGATGTTCTTCATAATTCTCAACAGTTCTTTTTTCACCCAGAATTGGTATCTCAGCCTTAAGAAAATCCTCTCTTGTTAAGCAACAAAACCTACAAAAGTATGCGCCAGAAAAACTCTCTATGAATCCCCCAATCATATGAGAGCCAAGATTAGCTCCTACAATACAATGGAGGAAAGCTTTAACTACTCTATCATTTCCTAGATTTAACCCATTATTTTCAAGATCTTTCAATTCATCTACTATAAAACTAAAAGTAAAATCCTTGCCAAACTGTTTTAAATGGCTTTCTTTTACAAGCATTACTAACTGCATATGATCTATGATAGACCTGTGGTGACTTGGGAAATTTGCAAGTGTGAAATAAACACCAATTAATTTATGTTTTTTCTTGGCAGAGCCCAAAGGATTGACCAGCTCAAATGCGTCTTGATATAATATCAATTGAAAACTTTCAGACTCTTTATTAATAAGATGGTTATTCCGAAATAAACCCCCATGTGTGACATCTGTATATGTTTTGTCATTTCCCTCAAAATTGATCTCCTTTCTGTTATCTAATTTTATTTTTTCAGGAAAATGCTTAAAAAGCATTTTCAAGCTTTCTTTGATCGAGACAATGTGCATCTTTTGGAGTTTATTATTGTTATCATATCCTAAAACAATTTCTCTTGGGGCACTCTGAAAAAACATCTGCAAACAAATCATTCTGTAAACGATCTTTCACCTCATCAGACAGATCCAAATTTTGTAATGTTTCAAATAACTTGTTTTTTACAATTAATTGATTCATGCCATGTAACTGCTGTATTTCAGTTATTATATTTTGTATGAGCGATGCTGGCATTAAATATTTACCTTGCAATTTTAGGTAAAAAAGGGCCAAGTTTTTTAAGTAATTCTCCTGTGTTTCATTATCAATTTCTAGATCATCTAAATGTAATTGGGCTTCCACATCACTCACACCACGATCATCAATGACCTCATGTGGCTGTTGACCAATATCTAGGCCTTGATCAAGGCCTACAGTTAAATTTGTGTCTTCACAATTTTCATTTGATTCAACAATGTAGCATGGGGCCAAGTTCTTCCAATGTTTTGATCGGTGACAACGTGATAAATGTGAAGAAAATGACGATTTTATTTTAAATATGCCCTGACATGCATTAAATGGACACTTAACATGTTCATTAACTGAAATGTGGCCTTTTAGATGAGAAATTAATTCCGGGTATGAATCAATGTTTTGTTCACATATTTGATTGAAACACCTAAACCTAACATCTGAAGAGTTAAAGACGTTTGGGTGTATTTGTTTACTATTATCATTATTAATATGGTTTCTTACAACATGCGATTTAAAGGCTGAATATGTATGAAAAGATCGTTTACAATCTAAATCGCAACACGAAAATTGAATATGTGGTACATTTGCATGGAACTTATAGTGATACACATATTGCTGAATAGATAAAGTCTTAAAAGAGCAATGCGCACAACCATACATTACTTCAAAATATGATTATATTCGCCACTGTGTTCGTTGCTGATGGATTCATCTTTGCCTATAAACTATAACGTTGACTCTTAAATTGAAGTAATGGCACCCAGATAGACTTACGACGTCAGCATAATTTAATCAATTTTCATGGAACTTTTATTGATACACATACAGCTGAATAGATAAAGTCTTTAAAGAGCAATGCGGACAGCCATACAATACTTCAAAACATGATTATATTCGCCACTGTGTTCGATGCTGATGGATTCATCATAGTCGTTAACGTTGACTCTTTAAATTGAAGTAATGGCGCCTAGGAAGACCGATGACGTCAGGCTAATTTAATCACCCGTATGTCATATTTACAGAAGGAATTCTGTATTTCTCAAATATTTACAGACTTGGTTCTGTTATCAGGATAACAGAACTGTTCTGTAGGCGTTTTACAGAAACCGGTCTGTAAAAATTACAGAAAAGGCTTACAGTGTAGGCGATAGTGCCGCTGCCCGGGCAAAATTTCCCTCATGGCACACTGTATGGCGTATGCCCGTCTTCATTAGCCCAGCATAGGAGCAGAACAGTAGGAAGTTAAACCCCATTTCATTTCATTTCATTTCAGGTTTATTAAATGTGATGTAATATACATCTACCTGTAAATAACGAACAATGTTTTGTATAATTAGCTGCACACCTCTACCTAAACTGTACGAAAAAAGGGGGCCATTGAACAAGTTACCTCGCCCTACCTGTTTATTATAAATATACCTGTAACAAGGAAGTATATTATTATTGTATAAATGTCTAGCTCAACATATATATATATATATATATATATATATTGAAAGAAGAGTGTCAAGTATTATTATTTCATTATTATAGTTTCATCTCACAAGCTTTATAGTGAAGACATAGGTATCATGGTTAGATCACTCACGGCAGTATTTAGTTTGGTCTCAGCCGTTGTAATATTACATATTAGGGCTGTGAGTAAGTAAAAATTATTAATACTAGTTTGGTTTATAAATGAATGGGACTGAATTTAACCGCTCTACACAGCTAGAATACTAATGTATGCATACTCGTCAAAAGAAGAAACGCATAGTGACATTTCGTTGTCGGTATACCCTCGCTCTACCATCGCCTCGTTGTAACAGGAACCGCGACTTGTCGGTGAACCAAACTGTTCTCCAGCGTTGCTATGGCCATACCCTAAGTGTCTGAACCCAATAAATTCTGATTTGACAATGTCGGCGTATTTCAAAATAACAACTCTAACGGGACGTTTAGCTCGTAATCCGGTTTTACGTAGGCGTTTATGGACTGTCTGGTCCGAGATCCTACGCCGCCCAAGAATTGCTGTTGCAGTAGAGGTCGCTGTTGTGAACCGTTTCCGCAAATGACGTGAGCGGATATGACGATCCAGGGCAGGTGGTGTTTGAGCTTTGGCGGTCAGGTGTTGAACTGCGCTGTCGGTACCTATCCCAAATGGTACTCTGGGAAACATTCAGCAGCCTGAAACATTCAGCAACCTGGATACAACTGTATGGAATTCACCTGCTTGTAACCGACCTTTAGCGTTGTTGCGTTGGACTTCGTTCAGATGTGGCATCACTTGGCTCGTTGAGTGTTTACACGTGCAACTGATTTTGAAACCGAGAACCCCGGGATTCTAAAGACCTTAGATTTGGGTTTTATGCGAAAAGGTGTTAAACTCGTATCTTGGTGCAATCAAGCGAAAACAAATTTCGGCAAAAAGTATGATCAGTCACAATTAGTGACCGTACATTTAAAACCAATAGTGAATTTCGTTTATCGTTACATAATGACATAAAAACAAGTAAGATTTATTGAAACAACGATCCCGTTCAATGATAAAAAATTGGCTGTGCGTTTCTTGTTTTTTTCTTCTTCTTTATTTTTGAAGAGTATATATATATACATGAAATTTACTAGTAAAACGTTAACTGTGTGATATATAGATTTGATATATCGAATTATAGTATGCGTTGAAGTGGTTTAGACCCTAGTTTACTGATCTTTCGCATTATAAGTAGCTACCGATAATTATACTCTAAATAATTATGTTCTCGTTCACATTCTCACACCCATCCATACACTTGTTCTTACTAGCACGCCTCCGTTATATTCGTACAATAAATATCTGCTAGTAATTTTGTTTGGTTGTTTTTATTTTCAGTCAGTATGAACTGTAACCCAAGTAAGTAAATTTTACCAAGACAATGTTTACATTTTGATTTGAGATAATATTACACAAACTACATTCTAATGACCATAACTACACAATATTGAAGGTTATTCTTTATTGAAGGCATTCTTAATGTTTAGGTTGTTTTAATGAGACATATTTTACAAAATTTATACCTCGTGCCTTGATAATAAGGAATGGAAGTCGTCGGGGTACAATCAATAAAAGTCAAAGTGTGGCGACGGAAGGTTATAAACACGAAGCAATAAATCCGACATTTTATCTTTGTGTTCTGGAAATGCTAATATTGTTTTCATATTATAGACAATGCAAAAGCACTGCAAGTCTTTGGCAACAAAAAATATGAATTGGTTTTCTTTTTTGCATAGTAATCTTCGTTATCTCAGTTTCGGTAATTACGTGAATAATTAATTTTCTTTTATAGATTTGTCGTCACCTGTAGTGCCATTTTGTAGTGGCCTGTCAGCTAGCGGAAGGGATGTTTATTTATCTGGAATAGATAATGGTACAAATGGTATCGGATGTATTTGTTCCGTTAGTTTAGTTCCTTATAATCAGGAACAAGGGGACATTGAAATAAGGAATATAACCACTACCTCCAACCTGTGTGACTATTCATTATATTCTGTATATAGAAATAGTAGTAAAAGGTTGTATTCGTGTGGTGATAATTTAAATGGACATAGATTTGATTTGAAACCTATGGAAACTGTGAGATTACATATGGGGGCAGGTACTTATAATGGTGCTGGATTTCCTTTTTGTCTTCTGTTTAGTGATAGAGGTATATATTTCTGAATCTCATTGATTAAATCAGTAGGTATATTTGTTGCAGAATTATGATTGTAAACGTTTCTCAACGACGACTCATATTTTCATTAAACCAGTCTTATTTATAACATTACAAGGTAAAGATGTCAGAATCCTGAAGTCATAGGGCTACAAATGTTTAAAAAAAAGAAATGAAATAAAAGAGAGTTTAACGTTCTACTATTCTGCTCCGACTGGGCAAATGAAGACTGGTTAAAATAAAAAATCTCAAATGTATATATACTCTTCCAAAAGAGTTGGGGTTATTCAGAAATAATACAAAACTGCGGAAATGCACTGGTGTTTTTAAATAGAGGTAACCAGTGTATGTTAATAACAGGTCAATTGCCTACACATAAATATAAACAGTTCATATGGGCGGCTTAATCTGACGGCACCATTTCACTCGCTAAGAGATACATCGTCCAAAGTGAAAATGGACGTCTTTGATTTTTGTCTTATAATAATGAGTGATTGCTCCACCAATCCCCAGACATTTAGCAATTCGTCATGGCATGCTCCTAATCAACCGTCCAATCACGATTTGGGACAATCTTAAGGATCCTCTGGAATGTGGGTATGTAATCCAGACGGTGCTTAGTGGGCTTTAAAACTATTAATACCTTTGTAGGTTCTGAAATAAAACTAGAGTGTAGGACTACACCACAGTCAACAACAACAACAACCAATACGTCACCAACAACATCAACATCCATGAAATCTTCCAGCACAAAATATTTCATGACGACAAGTTATGACACTCAAAATATACCAATCTCCAGTACAAGGAGAAATGAAGATACGACTGAACCACAACCACACGATAGTGATTCTGATCGATGTAAGTATATTGGTCATCTGTTGCCTATCTCAAGATCGGTTTATTAAATTATACACACAGTTGTCGTTTGTTATTTTGTTATTAAAGAAGTGTCTGAAATTAATGGTGTATTTAACAATTCAATTTTATTGAAAACTAGAAGAATGCCCGGCTTCGCTCGGGGGTCATAACCCCGAAACCGGAAGTGGTAGACTAACGCCACCTGGCCTATGTTACTTCCCGGTCCGAGATACCCCTATACCCCAAATTTCAGACTCGGGGCAGACCTAGTGTAGCCGCCAACCCCGAACAGACAGACTGACAAACGACAGTCACAAATATTAGTATAGATAGATAACATTTTTATATATCTGTAATAATTTAAAAATCGGGTAATAGATTAGAAAATATATTAAAGATACATTATGTAAGATTTAGATAAATAACTAGCCATTCTTGCTATAATAGTTCGAAAGTAGATTCTGTAAAATGAATAATTTGAAAATTTCATTCAAATTACTCTATTGCAAGCGAAGATATTAGCCTTTGAAGGTTTGACAGACGTGTGCAATAATTTCAACCACCGTACTGGTTGATCGAAGCTGTCTCGGTTCTCCATATTTGATTAAATCAACGTATCGCTGAACCATTCTAATCTATTTAATGTCTGTCTGTCTGGATGTCTGTTCGGGGTTGGCGGCTACATCTGCCCCGAGTCTGAAATTTGGGGTATAGGGGTAGCTCGGACCGGGGAGTAACATAGGCCAGGTGGCGTTTGTCTACCACTTCCGGTTTCGGAGTTATGACCCCCGAGCGAAGCCGGGTATCCTGCTAGTTAATGTCTAATTAATACTTTAGAAAACATTTCAGGCCTAAAGAAAGACCTGCAATAGGCAGATGTAGCTCTCACATATTGCATGTTTAATTACATAAATTAAAAACAAGTTTTTTTTGTAAAATACTCCCTTAAATATAGTTTGTTTGACCAGGATAATCGTAAGTCAAGAGTCTAGACCGATAAGGTTCATCCTAGCGCCGAGAAAACCCGGAAATTTATCAAACAAGGTTACCACTTAAAACAGGGTTATAACAAAAACACAGTTCCGTGTATAAATATCTAGCGCATGTTAACGATTCCGCGTATAAATATCTAGTGCATGTTAACGATTCCGTGTATAAATATCTAGTGCATGTTAACGATTCCATGTATAAATATCTAGTGCATGTATAAATATCTAGTGCATGTTAACGATTCCATGTATAAATATCTAGTGCATGTTAACGATTCCATGTATAAATATCTAGTGCATGTATAAATATCTAGTGCATGTTAACGATTCCGTGTATAAATAGCTAGTGCATGTTAACGATTCCATGGAAAAAGACTATTTGAAACCCACTTCGCTTGGCATATATGGCTGGTATGTTAGTCTCAATATGACATATTTAAAGTATCCACGATACCTCTAACACTATTCTATTTCAAGTTCTAAGGACAGGTTCTTAATGAGGACATGTGTCTAGAACGTTTTTAAAGAATATTCCCTTATTATTTAAGTTATTCTTGATGTGTAATTACTTCTAATTCGGTGTTTGTATTATATTTTGAATTGTGTCTACAGTGATTGCTATAATCATTGGACCTATCCAATTTTTGTATTATATTTTCAGTGATTGCTATAATAATTGGTTCAATTCTAGCTGTTCTGATTGTGGTAGCTTTAGTTATTATAATTGTCTGGTCAGTATACAAAACATTTAAATCTTAATCAATTGAAACAACATCGAAACGATGTTCAATGGGTCTATTGCGTTTTCCAAAACTTACAGCAAGTAACCGTCAGCAACAATTTAAACAAATAGACCCCTGTACCCTGTGTAACCTGGACAAACGTTCATAAATACATTTAAGCTGTTACTAAATAGTATGTCTGAAGTCTATTATGTGGATGTTCGTAAGCGCAATTATCAAAATCAGGTTCAGATAACTCATCTGATAACTATTTTATATCAGTAGATATATACAAAGGTAAGAAACACACTGACAACAAAAGGTGGGATTAAAGTCTACTAGCCTTCCTTTCACCAACCAGTCGCAATACAAACCAATTGTCGCTACTTTTCGCAATAATGCATGCACATAGGTTTGCTTAGATACCTTATTAAATGATATTATTTATTCTCATTAGTTTGGTGAAAAGACGAAAGAAAGATGTCATATATGAAACGCCACGACAACCACAACAGAGTTCACATATCTATATGGATTTAAATGTTGAACCCGGTAACAGTGGAACGAAACAAAACAACATTTATGTGAACAGCGTGGTGATTTAAAAAATATATATATTGACTTTTAGTAGATGGGAATAATTGGGACTAAGTCTTCACCAGGATAATATTACAGGTTTCAACAACTTGTCACTCAAAAAGTGATGTATTGCTTTTAAAATGACTACGCAAAGCATGTGTTCTCTATGACAGAAACTAATGAAATATGGCGTAATCGTGCTGATTCACAAACCATTAAATCCTCTATGTACTCTCATTACAACGATGTGTAAAACTGAATGGCGACTTTTCAGATGCGTTCACAAAAATGAAATGAAATGGGGTTTAACGTCCTACTGTTTTGCTCCGAACTGGGCTAATGAAGACGGGCATGCGCCATACAGTGTGCTATGAGGGAAATTTTGCCCGAACAGCGGCACTACGGCTTACTCTTATATCGAATTCCAACTGTCAAGGGATCTTTTACGTGCACGCCAATGTGTACACGGGACCTCGGTTTTTCGCCCCATCCGAACGAATGTTTTTAATTAAAATGTCTCTTCTTTATTTTATTTCAATATTTGTAATAAATGCTTTATTTGAACCCTATTGATTCATTGTCGTTCTTCACGAGATGCCTGAAGAAAGGCTTCCATTATGACCAGATTTCAACCTTGTTGGTAATCCAGACTAATTTGCAACAAGGTGGTGTCGAGATCGAGACATCAAGTAATATCTTATTACTGCACAATGGCGTCAGACTGAGTCTTCTTTCAATATATTTACGCAATGTCTTAAGCACTCACTATCCAGCATGTGCATTTCAATGAAATACGTCACGTCTAAAGCTGGAAACCGAAGACTTCTTTGAGGAACATAGGAAACAAGAATGACGGGTAGTCCGTTGTTTCACCTTTCTGAATGTTGTAAGCTATGCACAGAAGTTTGAATGTAATTCTGCTTTCCACCTTAACTTCAAGACGTCTGACATTCTTAAATTATTACCCTGGTTTTCTCGACTTTAAGAATTAGAGTTTTCAAACGTGATACTTGAAATCTTGAGGTTTGTAAGATTCAACGAGTTTGTAGATAACCATGACATAACATTTTTTTTAACTTCGTGCAACGATTTTATCAATTAATACTGCTATTCTTTCAAATCTTTATTAACTCCACTACGGTAGACATTCCTTGAGGTTTAATAGGCGTACAATTGTTATTGCGATAGTAAGATTTCTTATTGCCACGTTCTATAATAACCTAAAAATAATATTATACTCAAAATAGCCTCTCAATTAGTAGGTTATTGTCCTATACCAACCCACAAATAATGTTCTACTCCAAATAGCTACTCTGTTTAGTTAGTTATTGGGTTATGAAACGAGGAAGTGTAAATCGTTCTCTATAAATAATACATCGTCTGCTTTATAAATTCATATTTTAGTAGCAAGAGGTATATGGTCGCGACAACGTTACTTTCAAACATAAATCTTAAAAAAACCTGTTATATCAACTCCAATATTAGTTTAGTTAATCGCCTGTTTATACATGGTGGGGGGGGGGGTGAAGGGGTGCGCGTTGCATCATAAGGTCTGTCAATAAGTCAACTGGTGTGGTTTCAATTCCCCGATTGTACGTGACAAGGAGTAGGGTCGCCTGTCCAACCCCGTAGGTTTTCTCCGGGTGCTCCGGTTTCCTCCCACAGCTAATGACCCCGCGCTAGCGAATTATTGAAATAAAGTTGAACCATATGTTAGTCTCGAAATGACTTAGTTTGTGTCGAGTGGACGTTAACCACACTTCCCTCTTCATAACAAGGTGTTGTATCTGAGATATGCGATATCAGAGTATAACATTGGTTGTTATATGTGATTTGTGATATCGTACTGGATGTCAGTGTATAACATGGGTTGTTATATGTGATTTGTGATATCGTACTGGATGTCAGTGTATACACATGTTATATGTGATTTCTTACTAAATGTTAGTGTAGATTCTGATCTTATTTATTTTATTCAATGATATTTGGCTAGTGAATGTACATATTTCAAAATGCAATCAGGCATGTCATATCCTTGTCGTGTGTGTGTCAACTATCTTATGTTAACAATAAATTAAATAGTGATTTATAAACTGTTACAATTGAATAAGTTATGTGAGACGTTTATTTTGAAAGTAACACAATTGATTTCTCAATGTATTACATTTATGGTTTGTACAAATCTGCCTGAAGTTTACAACAAAAGGGGCCATTGTACAGATTTGTCAAGTAATAGATATATATTATACATGTGTTGTATAAATGTCAAGCTCAGCGTATACATATTTGTGAAGTAAAGATGGTTAAACGCATTATGACTGTTTAACTCAATGTGTTACAGTACAATGGTCATATGAACAGCGGTGAATCATGGACAGGTCACGTAGCTATAGGGAAATATTTAGTTTCGTTGCGGTCATTACAATGTTACATACTATTGTTGTGGGTAAGTAAACAAAGTTTCAAATGTACATATATATGTATAATTTCATAGTTTCAATCAACAATCTGATTTTAAAAACACAGATCCTATTTCGTTTCGTTTTGATATTTCAAAATTTCGTTTTACTTGTCTTTACTACACTAGGATCTGGAAGAGTTCTTATCATTGACATGTTCTGAACGATGTGAGGGATTAGCCAATGAAACGGTCTGTTACGGCGAGCTTTAGGCGTGTTTTGCACGGAACTGTGGGTAATCCACAAGTAACATCATTGCTAATTGGTTAATCAAATGTCTGACGTCATACGGCCAAAAGCTGCTCATGTGACCTCTGACACGACCTATCGCTACAACCGGTCAGATCTTCATGTAGTGTAGGCAATCGAAAGTATAAAAAACGAAACGAAATATAGATCCGTATTTTAATTTTAATCAAATTATTTAAATCGTATGTCTATATAATAAATAAAGGTTAAAAATGCTTAAAGAAAATACTATTGTTTAATTGTCTACACGTTTCGCCTGAACATGTCAAGACATACATTAACAATATCGTGACATCATGGAAGAATGTTAATACAATAATATAATAACAATGAAGTATATATGTATATGGCATAATATTGTAAAAATTTTGAAATGTTTAATTTGGGTTTAAATTTAGAATATTTCAATGGCAGTGAAAATAAAGATAGATTCATTGTAAGACTTAAACACTAGATGATAATACTAAGGGATCACATAAAGATGCGTAAAAGTACAGCTAAAAAACATTGGAATGAGATGACTCCATAGTGATAAAACATGCGCATAAAGGTAGTGGAACAGTCAGTTTGAAATCGGAGTACTACAAGTGAATGGAATTAGACACATTACGCGAAACACTATCATAAATTACCCTGCACTTATAGTATACTAGTTGTATTGGGGAGGGGTGACGAGTGGTTAGCGCGTATGCGTTGCATCATAAGATCTGATATTGAGTCAGCTGGCGCGATTTCGATTCCCCGGCTGTACGTGACAAGGAGTGCTAAAGACCCACAAGCGCATTATTGAAAAAGAAATGAACCATATGTTAGTCGCGAAATGACCTAGTTTGTGTCGAGTGGACGTTACCCCCCCCCTCTCTCTCTCTCTCTCTCTCTCTCCCCAAAAATTAAACTCTCCGCCACTATCCAGAAATATGACCGTTCTACGCTGTCTATTATGGACAAATTGTTCCTGCTTGACGGAGAAAGACACCAAATACCCACAGAGTTTGACGTGAAAACCAACAATTTTCATGGTTTACCTCAGATCCACAAATGTAAAGGAATAAACACAGCATGTGCAAACCAAAATTCGACATATATGGGATTGAATCATCCTTAGGATTTGAAACTCCGAATAATTATAGCAGGTCCAGCATGTGAAACTTGCCGTCTTAGAATTTTTGCCAGCCCTCGTACACAACTTTTGCCACATTGCCAACCGTCTTTCCTCTCTCACGCTCAGGATTTCTTTCGTCAGGTTCTCATTACATTTTGATGGGTATAAACAAAACTAATGTTTCATAGTGAAAGGTGACTTTGTTCTTGGAGGGATCGCGATCAGAATATGGTTTCTGGAATGGGGTCGCAACCACGGAAAGTTTGGAAAACACTGGTTTATCTAAACGAGACTGCATTGGATCATTTATATTGAAGAGTTCAGCATCACGTGATGTATGGGCCGAAGGACGTCACGTGTTTAAAATTAAAAGAACTGGAGAAATTTACTGTACGCCGCCATTTTGGAATGGTGTGAAATTTCTGTGATGTAATTACCCATACGTAGTGTTTATTATATGTATTTATTTGGTAATATGCGGTTACTAATTTGTGGTTAGTACATAGTGAACAGGAAAGGTTAAATACAATTTGTTTATGTTTATTTTAATCAATATGCGCCCAGCTGTATCAGTAATAATGTTTGGTTGTTTTTATTTTCAGTCAGTATGAACTGTGATAGATTAAGTAAGTATATTTGATTAGGGAAGGGGGATCACGGTGGCTAAGTGGGTAAGGTACTGGCTCGCTAGCCTGGAGGTCGAGTGTTCGATCACTGCATTGGCCGAGAACGTTCATCCAGATTTTCGGGCGTGGTTTCCTCTTGTCAGTGATGTCAGTAAAAGATCCCTTGGCAGTTGGAATTCGATATAAGAGTAGGCCGTAGCGCCGCTGCCCGGGCAAAATTTCTCTCATAGCACACTGTATGGCGTATGTCCGTCTTCATTTGCCCAGTTTAGGAGCAGAACAGTAGTACGTTAAACCCCATTTCATTTAATTTTATTTGATTAGAGAAGGTTAACACTTGTATTTTCCACAATAATTCACAAACTAAATCCTAAGGACTATCACTGTGCAACATTAAACCTACTATTGATATTGACCTATGTTTATATTTACATTCTAATATTTAGATTTGGTTTGTTTTTCACGATTCACTCATTTTTATAATATAGAATAGAACACGGTGTGGTAAATTAACATACTTAAAGCTACAATTTCATATTTTTAAATTATATTTTCAAAATTTATTAAAATAAAGCCTTAAAATAGATGGTATCCAGAAACAGTCCTACCTTGTTAAAGAATAATCCTATTAATCCTATAATTCACTATTGCCAGCTGAGAAATTGGCAAAAATATCATTTTCAGCTTCAAATTCAAACATAGCTATTCCATGGTAATTGTGTTATTATTTCCTGTGTCAATGATTTTTAAGGGTGGGAAATAATGCCCATGGTCGCATAATAGTGAGTTGATAACCTATTGAGCAAAAGATATAGAAATAATTTTGTTTTGACTTTCTTAGAAAATATGAAATTCTCGCTTTAAAATAAAACAAAAATCAGACGTCATTTTGTCCTCGTGGCCTTTTGTATTTGTAGTCCATTTTGCCGAGATTTGAATGCAGCTATGGCGGGTGTGGCGCCAGGCAGGGTAAGCTTACTCCTCCGGACACCTGTAACCATTGTTTGTCGTGTATTTTGTACACGGTGAACAATCCATTTGCTGATTACACCATTTTGCCTGTACCGTTTTTTAAGAACTTCGAAGTTTGTCTAATGATTTGGATTGTTCGTACTTGGTTTTAAATTTGTATTTTAAATTAGAATCTCTGCCCTTACACGGACATAAGTAAATCTTAGTTTTTTTTTATTTACCTACTCATTCATTATTTCAAATTAGAACAAATGTAATCGTAAGGAGTATACATATAGTTTCTTTATTCACATTTTCTTTTATTGAGTTAATCAGTGTTCTTGACTGTTTACAGATTTGAAACCTGAAGCGCCAGTTTGTAGTGACGTGTCTGTTAGCGGAAGGACCGTGTATTTATCAGGAATAGACAATGGTGCAAACGGTGTCGGCTGTAATTGTTACTTTAGTTTATGTAGTTTAAATGCATCTACGCAGCTACCAGTGACAATTGAAGTAAGGAATGTAACTACCGCAACTAACTGGTGTGATTATTTATTATATTCTGGATATAGAAATATTAGTACAACACTGTATTCGTGTGGTGAAAATGTACATAAAACGAGTTTTGAATTGGGAATCATGGAAACTGTGGAATTGTTTATACAGAAAGGAACTATTAATGGTTTTGGGTTTCCCTTTTGTCTTGAACTAGTTAGTAAACCAGGTAAATATTTCTCACTCTATGTAATTAAATCAATAATGTCTGGATGTGATTCTAAACATATCGCCAATTTTGATTATATTCTGATATTTCTAGGATCCGATTTCAAATAAACAATTTATATTTTACTGTCATTGTATTCCACTTGGCTATATTAAACTATTGCTTGTTGTGAAGTTTGTTTTTTTTTAACAATTTGTATTCATTTTTCATCGGCCGGTTAGTAGAGAATACGCTATTCCCCACCGTGTCAATTAAGTGTTGTTGCTCTTGTAGGCCTATGTTGTGATTTGATATAAATTTAGACAATTCACAATGGTGAATCACGTCGGTAGAAGCGGACATCACATAAAGCTACTTAACACACACACACACACACACACACACATATATATATATATATATCCAAAATTATTAGCACAACCACAAAGCTGCACTACTTTGCTTCACGGTAAATGATGAAAAGATAAAAAAAGGTATGCCGACACAAACTGATTTCAACACTGGTTTAATAACATTTTAACATTTTAAAGTACTTTTCGTCCGTCTTGGGACTATTCATAAATAATTTCTATATATATATATACACACAAAGACATCTGTACGTATTTGGCGGCCCAAGAAAAGCCCAAGTTCGATTAATAACTTGACAGTGTTGGGTAATTAGTGCGACAGAGCGTGGATTTTAAATCATAAATAAAACCAGAATAAATGTGTTAATAACTTAATTTTAAACACAGGACTCAATCAGTTAGTTGGACCGTTGAGACTGCTGTTTATTTAAACTCTTGTAGGTTCCGAAATACAATTAAGATGCACGTCCAAGTCAACAACAACAACGTCAAGCACCAACAATGGTATGTCGACAATTTCTGACAGTACCAGGAGAAATGGTGATACATGTGCCACTAATTATAGAACGGATAAACCTGCCATGCCTTCTACAACTGAAGACCCACCTAATGATGATTCTGGTCAATGTAAGTATATTGGTTTCTACATGTACTACCAAAGTTTGCTTTATAAATCAAAATGTGAAAACGATGGAGCCGCATAGAATGAAACAAAACGTTTTCTTGAGTTGTTTGCATAATAAATAATTGTCTGAAGACAATTCTTTTAAAATATACATTGACAATTTTGTTTTGTTTTTTTGGGGTTTTTTTTCTGGGGGGGGGGGAATCTTGTATATAATATGTAAAAATAAAACCATGAAATTAGGCAATCGGGACATTAATTAGAAAATTACTTACAATGTAATTTAAAAATGCAATGGTTGGTGGTAAATACTCTCTATAGACTTGATAATGTTAAAGCAAGATTATAGGCCAACTATGTTCATCACTGGGTAGAACGTGAAGGTCCTGGTATTATTCTGGCAGGCAAAATGTGACAATACAACAAGCCTCTTTGTACAAATGGGTGATCAGTCACGGTGGCTTGGCGAATCGTGGATTTGATCCGGGAATTTTCAGTCTGGATACTTTTTGTTAGTAAAAATAGCGTCCCATTGTCTCAAATTGGTATTGCGCGTAAAACATCACATGGAACAAATAAACTAAAACCCTGATTCCTGTTAATCATAATCTTTGGTTACGGTTAGGGTAACGTTAATGAAGGACAGGTGAGCAAAAGGTTTTTAGATAACGTTCTACAACAATCTTTCCCATAATATTTAAATAACTATCGGCGTATTTTTCTATTCTAATTTTGTAGTATTATATTTTCAGTAATTGGTATAATAATTGGATCTATTGTTGGTGTTCTAGTTGTGGTAGCTTTAGTTATTGTAATTGTCTGGTCAGTATAAATAACCGTTTTATACCCACTGTTAAAATCCTGTGTTAATGTTATTAAACAATTGATATCAAATCGCAGAGCTGTTCACTGGTTCCATATATTTTATAAAGCGTACAACCACTCTTGTAACGTGGACAATATTTTTCAAAAATAACATGAAGCTGTGACTAAGTATTATGTCTGAAGTTTGTCACGTTCATGTTCGTAAGCGTGATTATCAAAATCAGTACATATAATAGACAAAGGACAGAAACACACTGGCAAAGAAAGGTGTGGCCACAGTCCACTAGACTTCATTCCATCAACCATTCGCAATAATAATCTGTCTCACTAGCTTGGGGTGGGGGTGGGGCAAGGAAGTGTTATATATATTCACACAGCAGTTCTCGCCTTAATGTAGACACATAGATTAGTTTAAATGCCTTATTAAAAGTAGTATTTATACTTTTTAGCTTGATGAAAAGACGAAAGAAAGATCTCATATATGAGAAGCCACGACAACCACAACAGAGTTCACATATCTATATAGATTTACATGATGCACCCGTTAAGAATGGAACCCCACAACATAACGAAAATATGAATGTCGGCAATGAAGGGGTGATTTAAAAATAAATATTGACTCTATACAGTTCTGACTTCTGTTGACATTTAATATATAGGAATTCGGGGGACTAATAGTCGCATGACAAACCCAGAAACGGTCTTTCAAGGCAACGTTTGTCACACAATAAAAGGCTGCATTGCTTTGTCATAGATCATCCCAAAATATCTATGATAACAACTAATGAAATATGGTGTCATCTGGAAGACTTGTAAACTGTTCAAATCTATCTAGTCTAATAGACAATCATGTGTAAAATTGATGGGAGACTTTTCAGAATCTCTAGTACCAGGCTTGTTTACATTCTATGTATTTAACTGATGTGTAACTAGCTATGTTACTTGTTTTTAACATTTAAAATAAGGTCATATCACTACTCACTCGCTAATTTACGAAGTATGATGAATTGACCCGATTGACATGTAAACAAAATGGAAATTGTAGTTTTCCCTGTGTACGGTGCTTAATGATTCTAAAGTTACCATATTGAAACAACGTGAAGTCACAGAACGATTTCGGTCTTAAGTAACTAGTAAATCTTAGTGACCGCAGTGTTCCATACACGATTAGGTGCACGTGATGAAAAGATTATTACCATGTGGCAAGGAGGCAGTGTCATATTATACGCCAGTTTATTCGTGTGATTGTTTTGAACTCTGTTAGTTAATAAATTAAAATGTGTGTCTTAATTGTGTTATTTCAATATATATTTTTTTAAATCTTTTATTTAAACTCTGTTGATACTTTGTAACCGTATCTACTTGAATACACTAGGTTAGATAAGCATTGACATGAATACAAGAACAATGGTCCCGCTCTTTATTCGCTTCCCATTGCCCGGGTGAGAATCCATAACTCTAATTAAGTGTGGCGGGAGTATTATACAACAAACCCTATCTGAATTATTTCGTTCTTTGATAGACATCTAAAAGGGTATCCACCATGGGCGGACGTGGCCATGGTTCACTAGAAATAAGCAAATTGAAAAAAACAAGTCAAAACAAGTTGCGGTTATATACGTATTATGTTTTGTGTAAGACTACCCTGTGTCACAGAACCAAAACACTCCGGTCTTACACTAGCCAGTCTTCCCGATGTGTTTTGAAACACAAACGGCTTGAACAGCAAAAATAAGTGTATAAAATAAAAGTGTGAAAACGATAAACACATAAAAAAAAAACATTTTACCAACCCTGTCTGTCGTGGATTACGCCTTGGTCTAATTTTTTATACAGAATTACCTGGAATTTAGATACGTAATGTCATTTAATTGGGGAGGGGGTGGGGGCTATAACCATATCTGTAAGAGTTTAATCCAGAAACCCGTTTAGCAATAAGTAGACATTTTAATCAATGTAGACATTTTAATTATGTTTAGAGTTTTAGATATCGTTACTATACTTTTACACTGCACCCGTCAGTCTGTCCGTAATAAAACATGTAACATTTTCGAACATCTGGCTCCGAGTTCACAAAGCATTATCAGGTTTAAGTTCATATTTTACTCAACTCTCAATCACTGTTTATGAGATTAGAAATATCTTTAATCCAGAAACACAAGACTTTGCACATAGATTCTTGTTGATGTATTTGATACATCAAAACAACAAAAGTTTATAAAGGACTATATTTTAGTTAAAATAAGGCGAGCAATTTTGAGTAAGATCTTAACTTAAGTCTGAGAATGCTTTGTGAATTTGGGACTAATGGATTTCAACCAACCAAATTTATTGTAATAATAATAGCTGCAGTATTTTGTAAATGTTATAATGTGCATAAGGCAGTTGTTTATGGGAGCCTGTTCCGGCCACTACCTCGTTCCGCGTCTTCTCACTTTATAGCGTTCCACAATCCTCGCCATTTCGTCCCTCGACTTCTAGACGTCTCACATTCACTAATTCTAGATCTCTCGACTTTTCAAACGTTGTAATTGACAAACGCGGAGGTTTGTAAGATTTAACTAGTTTGTAGATGACCATACCATAACATTCTTTAACTTCATGCAACGATTTTATAAATTAATAGCAATATTACTACTTTTAGTTATAAATAACATGGCATGTTCGTTCTAACTTCGTGGTTCAAGAATTTTTATAATTAATAACAATATTGCTGCTTTAAAATCTTTATTAAAGATACATAATGTAAGATTTAGATAAAAGAGCTAACCATTCTTGCTATAATAGTTCGAAAATAGATAATGTAAAATGAACAAATTGAAAATTTCATTCAAATTACTCTATTGCGAGCGAGGATATTAGCCTTTGAAGGTTTGATAAGACGTGTGCAATAATTTCAACCACTGTACTAGTTGTTCGAAGCTAAGTCTCGCTCCTCCATTTTTAGTTTAAACCAAAATATGGCTGAACTGTTCTAATCTATTTAATATCGGAGAAATCCGATGCCACCGAGAGTTGGTTATGGCCTGGATAAGTTAATTAATGTCTAATTAATAATTTAGAAAATATTTCAGGCCTTAAGAAAGACCTGCAATTGGCAGATTTAGCTCTTGCATAATGTATGTTTAACTGTACTATGTGACAGGCATTCACTGACTTGGGTGTGTCTGTATTATTGCTATAGTTAGATTGGTTATTGTCAACTTCTATTAAAACTCACCAATAATATTCTACTCAAAATAGCCCCTCGTTTAGTTATAGTTATTGGGTTGTGAAACGAGGAAGTAAAATACTCATACTACTGTGAGTAACCTATTCTTTATAAATAATACGTCGTCTGCTTTATAAATGCATACTTTAGTAACGGTGTGTGACCACACTAACTTGAGTTTCTATCATTTATTAAATACAACTTTGTTACATCATCTACTGTGTTAATTTGGTTAGTTTTCTGTGTATCAACATGGATTGTTGTATGTGATTTCGTACTGGATGTATGATTTAAGATGGGGTAATGGAATCGGATAACGGAATACGTTCAGCTTTATTTAACGTCCGCTTTAAGTTGTTGAGTTTTTATATGTGACTTGTGATATCGTACTGGATGTCAGTGTATAACATGGGTTTTTATATGTGATATCTTACTGAATGTCAGCGTATAACATGATTTGCTATATGTGATGAGATATATCGTATTGGATCTTATCGTATAAATCATTTATTTTATATGTGATATTGTATTTGATGATACGTGACTCAGTGAATGTAAATATTTCAAAATACAACAAGACCTGTCTTAACCTTGGCTTGTGTATTCTCTTATGGTGAGAATAATTTAAATAGATAACATATTAGTTGTTTATAAGCTGCTGAACTTGAAGAGGTTGTGTTGCTTTATTTTGAAACTTGCACAATGTATCCTTTATGTATTAAATGCATGTGTTGTACAAATATGCCCGAAGTTTACGACTGAAAGGGGCCATTGAATAGAGTTACCAATTGCTAGTTATATATCATAAATATACCCTAAAGGAAGTATATTATTATTGTATGGATATAAAGTTCAACGTATGCATATTTATTGTGAAAAATGTTTGATCGCTTTATAAATGTATAAATCCACAAGAACAAGATATAAATCAGAAATATGTTCAATAATATCGGTTGTGTAATTTCACTAGTACTTTCATCTCATAAGCTTTACAGTGAAGTGTGTTAAATAATATTGCTTGTGTAATTTTGAAACTAGTTTCAGAGCATAAGTTTAACAGTGAAATGGTCACATGAACACCCGTGAATCATGGCCAGGTCACATAGAGAAGTATTTAGTTTCGTCGTGGCCGTTATAGTTTTATATATTGGTGTTGTAGGTAAGTAAATTATTCAGTATATCTCTCTGAAATGTCATAGTTACAATCGTAAATAAATTCATAAATAACACCGGTATATGGTACAATAGATCTGAAATACCCAGTTGCTAGTCAGTACGCTAGCTTGTAAAAATGTTAGCTTTATGATAAAGTGCTAACATTTTTAAATGAGACAAACTTTTATTCTCAATTTTAATTGTATATATTTCATCATGTATATCGTTTTAAATATTTAAATATGTAAAAGACTTGATATATTTATTTTTAATTATATTTTCTGTGATATTTGTTTTATTTACATATATAACTTCATTTATGTGATATTGTTTTAATTTGTCTCGTTAGATGTACCATATGTTTGGCGCAATATAGCCCGGTTGGAGATGACGTGCCATTAAACAACATTTCATTCATTCTACCATATGGTTTGAATCATCTTTGACTATTCGTTCGAAGAATGTAGTTTTAATTACATGCCATTCGTATAAGCGAAATACATAAATCTTCTTACAAGATACAAACACATGAGCCGGTTTTGTTTTCAAAATCCTCAGCAGAGAACACAATACCTCAATATTTAGAGAATAGCATTTGTTTCCTTTTACGCTACGTATGTTTTGTCAAACATATTTGTTTATATGATCCAGGTAGTCTAAATTACTTGTCCGATCTCATCAACATATATGATACCGCAAATTTTGATCTTGGATCGTTGTCAAAACATCTGTACGAGTAACTATGGACCGGGGAAACAGAATGATATCATCGCAGCCATCATGGAATTGTCGCTTCCCAGTTTTGGTCAATCGTGTTTAAATTGGCGGAAACTTTGGGACTTTTTCGCCCCTAAGTACAACATAATAAGTTGCGATAGGGGTCCTGTTTCCTGGCCCATAAGATGTACACCAGTATTAGCAGAACCGTCGTTTGCATCGGGAGTACCATTTTAATCAACAGTTAATCAGTACAGATTTTTATGGGAGCGTTTATTTTATAAATATGTACTTAATTCTTAGTTTTAAAAAAAGGCCAATTTAATTCCTAATAACATTTTAATTGGACGTTACAGTGTGCTGCATACGCTGTATTTTCACATTTTAAATTAATTAAAATAATTGTTATGATTATAGTATTATATGTGAGCAAAATTATATCGTGTGTTCTACAAAGGGGGCTGATCCGTCCCTACTAACATGTGTCAGTTATTCTCTTTCAATAATTCTTTAATTTCTACTAGTTTATTTGATATCTGTTTTACAGCGATAATGCGAAAGTCTTCTTTTAAAGCTACAATTTCATATTTTTAAGTTATATTTTTAAAATTTATTGAAATAAAGCCTTAAAATAGATGGTATCCATAAACAGTTAAAGAATAATCCTATTAATCCTATAATTCACTATTGCCAGCTGAGAAATTGGCAAAAATATCATTTTCAGCTTCAAATTCAAACGTTTGAACATAGGTATTCCATGGAGGTTATAGGAAAACAAGGGAGGTAATTGTGTTATTATTTCCTGTGTCAATGATTTTTAAGAGTGGGAAATAATGCCCATGATCGTATAATAGTGGGTTGATAACCTATTGAGCAAAAGACATAGAAATAATTATGTTTAGACTTTCTTAGAAAATATGAAATTCTCGCTTTAACTCTGTTCAAGATGAGTGGCCTTTAATGTCACGTGCAGTTAATATTGAGAACTAATTAACTCGCACTGATGTCATCCCGCTCGAATATCTACTGCTAATCAGTTTGGTAATTTTGTTTGGTTGTTTTTATTTTTTGTCAGCCACTATGAACTGTGATAGTTCAGTTTCGGGTAAGTAAATTTAACTAAAGCAATATTTACATTTACACGCACAAAAATTCTAGTGAGCATTACTGTACACTACTAAAACATTGAAATCTTATGTTTTGTTTTTTGAGGAACATATTACACGATTAATTCACGTGTGGTATAATGGCATACCTTAAAACAATATGGAATTAAAGGGGTTTAAATATACTGTCCTGTATCGACTGGGCTAATGAAGTGTGCTATGAGGCAAATTTTGCCCGGACAGCGGCACTACGGCCTACTTTTATTTCAAATTCTGGTGGAGTGGGGTGGGGTGGCCGAATGGTTAGCGCGTGCTAACTACGCCAATAAATCCCAAGGAACTTTCACGGCCAACACCGGGATCGAACACGGGATGCCAACACCTTATTTCAACGAGCCTCCACAGCTCCAAATTAAAAAATCAGACGTTATTTTATATTCATTTTCTTCAACTATGTACACTTGATTTCAAATTGAAACAATACTATCGTAATCCGTATAGTTTCTTTGTTCACATTTTCAATTTTATATATGTTCCACTTGCATTTTCGCAGTTCTTGATTTATTCAGTGTACGTGGCTATTATTTTTAAGGGTCGAAACCTATAGCCCCGTTTTGTAAAAACCAGACAGTTAGCGGAAGGGAGATTTATTTATCTGGAGTACATAATGGTATAAATGGTATCGGGTGTAATTGTTCCATTACTATTACTAAAATTCCTGATGAGGATTACACATTGAAAATTGATATAAAGAATGTAACTACTACTACCAAACTGTGTGCCTATTCATTATATTCTGTATATAGAAATTATAGTACAAGACTGTATGCGTGTAATGAAAATGTAACTAAAGCTAGTTTTTATTTGAAACCTATTGAAACTTTGAGATTGCATATGGAGAAATGGTCTGACAATGGTGTTGGATTTCCATTTTGTCTCCAACTGTATAGTGATCAAGGTAAATATTATCCATCTATTCTATTAAATCAGTAGTTTTATATTTATTCTGGAATTATTGTAAACATTTCTCCAGTGTTGTTTAGCACCGTATATCCATATTACACTACTCGGTGGTTCTTTGTTGTTTCGTATTCCGGGTAGCATACATACCAAACATCATTAAGAAAGGAACAGATCGATCAAACCGAGTATCCATTCTTAACATAACCCAGCCAAGTACGACCTTGTAAGCAAGTATTTACCTTTCCACATCAGAATATTTACTTATAATAATGAATCCTAGACACCATACGAGGCTAGTCCATTTGTTATAAATTCAAACAATCCTCATAATATATATCGGTAAAACATTATTCATATTTACCTGTCGATGAAAGTACAAGTTTTATTTGACAGACTTTCCATGGTTAGGTAAGTGTAGTGAAAGATTATCGTTTTCAAGTCATAAATAAAATCATAATAAAAACGTTAATCTTTTGGAGAATAAAACTTCTAAATTTTGTTTTAAAATCCCTTAACATCCTCTACCTACGGGCCTGGCAACTAACCTAATATTTGTGATACGTTTTCAAACTACTTAAACCCGCCAATCGTCATATGGAAATGGACACCGGTGTACCAAGGTGTATTATGCGGTGTCTGAATAAAACCAGACATTTTGTTTATAAAAATAATGTGTACCCGAAATATTAAAAGGGTTACTGTCCGGATAAGCAGTTTTTACGGTCACGTCCAAACGACTTAATATTTTAAGGTGAAATTTTGAGACAAGGTAAATACACCATTCCTCTATATTATTTGAGGGCTTAAATGTCATACGCACACGGATTTTTGAGACTCTGTTCAAATCGGGATAGTACCTTTAATAACCAATATGAAAACACAAATAATTTTCCTTCAGTCAGTTACCTATAATGATAATTTATGGTTATATATTTTTAACCTGGTAAAAACGAATGAAACCAGAAGTATGCCATATTCTGGGTATTAATTGATTTCGTTTGAAGTCAATATAACTAACATATATATTTCTATAAAAAAACCTAAGTTGTGCCTAAAATGGAGACTTTATAGATTTTACATTCAAGTATCTGTGGACAATCTGGAATGTTTCCTATTTATTCCAGACCGCGATTCTTGGGCTTTAATTGATTTAATTAATATTTTAGCGGGTTCTAGTATTCACCTAGAATGCACATCTAAGTCAACAACAACCACAGCGTCACCTACATCATTAACATACATGAAATCGACAAGCACAAACCATTTCTTGTCGACAATTTCTAACAGCAATAACATACCAACTTCCAGTACCGGGAGAAATGATGATACAATTGCCACACTTTCAACCACTCTAAACTCTAGAACCGGGGGAAATGATGGAACGAGTTACACGACGGTTAAATCTAACATCAGTGGTGCCTTTCCTCCAACAACTGAACAACAACCCAATAATGATGATTCTAATCCATGTAAGTAAATATGGTTTATTCCCAGGAAGGCGCAGTTATTGACCGTAACAGATTAAAAGATGTCGTTTTCTGCAACTTCGTGGGAATCCAATTTTTAGGGATTAAAAATATAACAATGGCGTTATAGAATGTTATGATAAGAATTGACAATATCATAATCCCTAATGCGACTGGTATTATTCTGTATTCTGGCGGGGCAAATGTGACAATACAGAAAGCTTTTTGGTACACATTGGTAGTCACCAACTGTGACTCGGTGAATCCCGCGTTCGACCCCGATGTCGGCACAGAACATTCTGGTTTGCAGTTGTTAGTATAAAAAGGCGCCTCGTGTTCACAAATTGGTATTGTACGTAAAATATCCCATGGAAATAGGCGAAAACCCTGATTCCCTTTAATCTGAATCTTTCCCATAATATTTAAATAACTATCGATGTATTCTTCTATTTTAATTTTGTTGTAATCTATTTACAGTGATTGGTATAATAATTGGATCTATTCTAGCTGTTCTGGTTCTGGTAGCTTTAGTTATTGTAATTATCTGGTCAGTATACAAACAGTTTTATATCCACATTCTTTTATGTTTAATTTCTTATGTTAATGTTATCAGTTTATAGAAGGGGTTTGGATGGCCGAATGGTTACCGCGTGCGCGCTATATCATAAGGGCTGTCATTGAGTCAAAATGGTGGTTTTGATTTCCCCAGACGTACGTAACAACCTCGTGGGTTCTCTCCGGGTCCCCAGGTTTCCTCCCACTTCTAATGACCCTCTACACGCAAGCGAATTTTTGAAATAAAATTGAATATTATGTTAGTCCCGAAATGACCTAGTTTGTGTCGAGTGGACGTTAAACCTCTCTCTCTCTCCCTCTCTCTCTCTCCCTCTCTCTAGATCGAGCGTCGATACCGCAATGTGATACTCAGTGGTGCTATTACATTTTGTAAACCTTGAACAGTAACAATCCGGTGATTTCAGTTTATTCCAACACTGAGCAATATACACTTCTAAACTCCTCACCACCACAAAACTTTGTGTCATCTGCGGTTGCTTAAAATGGATTTCACAACAAAATACTCCCACAAAGAAAAAGGTTATACCCATAATTGTCTTCATAAACTCGTCTGAGTGAATGTAAACAATCCACTGATCACGTTATTAACGGATCGAATCTAGCAATTATGGATCTACGTTTTTGTTAGAGGTGGGGTAGGTCTGTCAACAGCAAGTAGACCACGCGGATATTTGATTATATGAATGTAGTATTCTCAATTCACAGAATGAACTTTCAGATTATGACTTGTTTCAGTTTATAGTCAACCCAAGTTTCATGATTATCATATTTTGTATTGTAAATGGGGAGCCACGGTGATTCAGGGGGTCAGACCTCGGCTCACTAACCCGGAGGTCCCTTGTTTGATTCCTGCGTTGGCCGAGAAAGTTCATCTGGATTTTCCGACGTGGTTCCTCCTTGTCAGTGGTCCAGAGCCTGCCAAGGAACAACGTATAGTCATTCGGATGGGAGTGAATACCATGGACCCGTGTACACATTGGCTTGCACGTAACAGCTGCCTTGGCAGTTGGAATTCGATATAAGAGTAGGCCGTAGTGCCGCAAAATTACCCTCACACTGTATGGCATATGCCCGTGTTCATCAGTCCAGTCGGAGTGAACAGTAGGACGTAAAACCCCATTTCACTTGTAATATAAATAGTAATGTTGCCTATTCCTTGATATCGCATTTATATCTCTTGATGAAAAAATAATTAAATAATTAGAAATGGAATGGGAATTAACTTCCTACTTTTCTGTAATGACTGGGCGAGTGAAGAACGACTGACGCCATACAGTGTACTAACTCCTACGGGATTGGAATGCATCAATCACTTATTGTAAATACGGTATCCAGACTATTCGGACCAAAGGACACTCGGACCAAGACCACTCAGACCCCCCCCCCAAAAAAAAAAACCAAACAAAAAACATTTTATACTCGTAATATATCAACCACGGGCCGTATACTTTAGTGGGGGGTTCGGGATGGTCTAGAGTGCTGCGCATCGACCTCTACCTGGCCGGTCACCTTGGTGTGAGCGTATGTGGCTTGAAGATAGGGGTGCCTTCTCAACCTCGTGAGTTTACTTCGGCTACTCCGGTTTCCTCCCATAGGAAAGACCCCTGCGCGTGCGCTAAGATAATAAAAATGAAAAATAAGACTTGTCTGCGATATCATCTTCGGTGGAAGCGGACATTTAACTCTAAGGACAACAATATACTTTAAATCATACTAGTATTTATTTGTTTTAGCTTGGTGAAAAGACGACGAAAGAAAAAGCCTCCATGTGAGACTCCACTGGAACCACAAGATAATCATGTAAATGCAGCTGTAACACCCAACAACAACGCCAACGGTCACAACAACCAAAATACGCAAGTCGGTAATCGGGGAATGATCTATTTAGAAAACGATCTTTATAAAAGTATTGATGACGACGAGCCGGTGGGAAGAAAGGGAGGTAACCACGAAGGCATGATATATCTGGAAAATGATCTTTATATTTCAAGCAGTGAAACTGATAACGTTCACCAAGATGAAGAAAACTCAGTTCCTCATCAACCTGTTGAATATGCTGTGGTTAATAAAACTGCCAAGAAAAGTAGTTCTAGTAATGGCGCATCAACGGGTCATACTGTTGGACCGCATGGTGACGTATACACGTTTGTACAGAAAAAATAGATATAAAATGTCAAATTAAACAAATAACTTATAAGAAAGATATTATATGCTCCAATCAATTACGTATTTAATTCTTCCTCAATTAAGTATACATGGTACAAAGAGACATGCATAGGCCTGGCGTTTACCATCTGAGAGGGTAGTGTAGTATATTTCCCAGTAGTGTGTTCGTTCCACGTCTGTTTTACAATGATTATTAAATTCATGTAGTTCAGTTGACCTCTACAGCACTGATCATTTGATTCTCTGATCCATACTATTGCTTTGTATAGGTATGCGTGGACTGACTTCTTTTATCATCTTCTAGAGTTGTGTAGTATAATTATTTTCCAGTGGTGTGTAGATATAATTGATATATTAGAAGTATATTGATATATTGACTGTTAGAAGTACGTAGTTTAATTATTCTCTACATCATCCATATGCGTGATATTGAACACTTGTTTGATCCATCGCTCTTTTTTCTTGTAAAATATTTATTCACAAAATTCAAATACATTATCATATTTACATCACGATTCAATCATATATACATTAATAAATAACACCACGAATTGGTTAAAGAGGGTGTGAAAAGTGCGTATATAAAACCCAATTTTTTTTAATTTGCTTTAAAATCAATGCTTATCTCATCATTTAATCCGAGATTAATAAGAACAGGTGGATTTCTGAATTTGAAAATAAAATCTTTAACAGTGTTATGCTTTTTGTAGTAGATATTAACATTATATATATTATATATTAGCAATATTTTAAATAGAGGCTTAACATTTATACTGGCCCATTCAGGGGCGGATCCAGGAATTTTTGCAGGATCGGGTTTGTCAGGTTCCTGAGACAATGTATCCCCCCCGCCTCACGCATGGTCTCTATCGTCATTTTGGCGTATATACATACACATTGAGCTTTTTAAACAGAGAAACACTTCGTTTGACGTCAATTTTTATTATGAATTAATACAATGACATTGTGATTCAATTTCATGGATGCAAAGCATTAATTGTGATATCACATAATGTCTATATCATTATCTCGTGTTTTGGGCGCCCATCCTGTTCCACATCTGACGATAAAGGATAAAGTGTACAAGTGCACTTCTTGTGTATCTTCTGTGGTTCTCGTTGTTGATTAAATGAAGACAAGACTGTTGTTGGCTGTTGATATTCCTCTATATTTTTTTGGTTAACAATTAATCAACAAAATTTACAGCAGACAATTAATATAACAATTATTGGTTCACTGCTTATTAGTAAATAAGCTCCAATGTAGATATGGGAATTGACATAAACTTATGTCTCCAAATATCCAAATACAGGTAAATAAGGTCTGTACTTAGGTATGTGATCTAAGTTGATCTCCCAAGACACGTGTGTAGCAAGCTTTCTTCTAATTCTCTCATTTGGGTCTATATATCCCCATGTATCGCCTAGGGCATTAATTCTATAAATCTATCGTCTATACAAACAATATACCCCGGTAACTAAACGCTATAGCCCGTAGACGTTAATTATAATTTATAAGCTCAATTTAATGTTTAAAACAAAGAATACTGGAGACGGGTGATTAATGAAATATATAAGACAATATGAAGTAGATATAAATGTTGGGGAATTAAGGTGGATTAAGATCCATTAAATATAGTTTACTGAATTAAGTAATACTGTGCGGATTAGCACGACGTATTAAACATTTACTATTGAATCCAAATTCACACTACTATAAAAGCACACCGAGAAAATTTTCACATAAAAAGTGTTGATTTACAAAAAAAATTATGTAGCTGGGCCCCCCCCCCCTGAATCCGCCCCTGCCATTGTTTAACGCTACCATTCTTCTTTTATATATAGTTAATCTTAATGGATATAAAACTTGATATATATTGATGTGAAATCCAATCCCTGATATATAAACATAAGGTATAAGCCTACACTTTAAGATGAGACGAACTATTAACTATGGATATTTTGCACATATATCTTGTCCACATTAAAATTTGGTGACAATGCTCCTAAGGAAGCTGTCTCGAAATCACTTCCCTACACATTTTACTTTTGTTATTTGATTTTTAAAAAAAAAGAAATTTTATATGCTATATTGATACTGTTCATATAGTGTTATATGTTATTGTAAAGTACATCTGGGCATGTTTATCGCGCTATATAAATATATAATGAAAAGTAAAATGTCATTATCTTCACAAAATGTCATTATTCAGGATTAAGAGTCTTAAAAGATTCAAACAAACCCTCAAAATTTCATGTTGTTAATTCTTTATGAAATAAATTACAAAATACTCAAAGAAGGATAGGCAAATGAGGAAACTGTCCCGAATACAATTAGAGCACGCTTTCCTACGCGCATTCCTCTTTTAATAATTGTGTATAAACGTTAACATGATATAATTATTGTGTATACACGTTCACATGATATAATTATGTCAGTATGAATTGATTTATTATATGGATTATTATATAATGTTTACAGTTATTTAAATATATACCAATATGTGGGATATAAACACAAGCATAAATATGCTTATAAATATCACTTGTTTATATGGATTTTATTTTTTGTTATAATATAACATGATATTATTATAATATAACATAATATTATTCTGATTTTCATTTTAATGTAATAAAACAAGGTTTTCTAGATACCGTATTTGAAAGTCGTGTGTTCCATTGAAACATATAAAATACCTTTTCATTAAACGTAAGGGGGTAAGAAAATAGAACCACGGCAAGTCGTGAATGGTCGTGATAGCTGAAAATAACTTCTGTCAGATATTCTATAAGATGCATAATAGTCATTGTCAAACTTGGTAATGTCGAGACAACAAAATGGCGTTGACATGGATCTGGTTTCAGTTCAGCCAGTGCAACTTCTGATCAGAATCACGGATGTGGTTTGAAATGAACTAAAATGAAATGAAATGAGGTTTAACGTCCTGCTGTACTGCTCCGACTTGGCTAACGAAGACAGGCGTATGCCATACAGTGTGCTATGAGGGGAAATTTTGCCCGGACAGCGGCACTATGGTCTACTCTTATAGCGAATTCCAAGAGCCAGGGCTTTTACGTGCACGCCAATGTGTACACGGGACCTCAGGTATTCGTCCAATCCGAACGACTACACATTGTCCCTTAAGCCAGGCCAACTGTCCTGCAGGGGGACACACCCGGGGGCTCCCGATGAACTTTCTCGGCCAACAAAGGAATACAAACGGAACCTCAAGGTTGACAAGCTAACGTCTCACGTGTTTTGTTGTATAGTTATCTGGAAGCCAGTGTTCCTTTAACATTTATTCAAACTAACTAATATCGACAATATTTATAATTCTATAAGGTGTGAACGCGAAACCAAATGGCCCCCTTTTTTTCTAAAAGTATGCCTTATTTATAATCACATAGTATTTATACATTTTGACTAATTGTATACATAGAGTACATAGACATATTTTGACTAATGTATACATAGAGTATATAGACATTATGATCTGTTATATGCGTATGATCTATTAACATTTTCTATACGATTGATTGTTCAGACTTCATGATCATGATTTTAAATCGGAATATATTTCTGAACTGTTCAAGTAAATATGGTCGTCTACGGGTTGTAACAAAGTATCAGTCATTTTTGTTGAGAGATCATGGCGTCCATCTATCAGTCCACAAATCGTCCTGTTTCTAGAAAACTTAACTAAAGATAAAATCCAAATTTTAGTAAATACTTCAATTTTGATTGGCTAAGCACTAAAATCAATCTATATTATCCAATAAAATTACTAAAATTTGGATTTTATCTTGGTTAAAAATTTCGTTAAACAGACCCCTGATTTGAGATTGTGTTGTACTTCCAGGAATTTTGGTAGTTATAAGGAAGCAAACCAGATGTATTGCCTGTATCATTGCTCTACCGGAAAGCTTCTAAATCACGCATAATTAGTAACTATAGGCCACACATCGAATTCCGTCTCATGTTACTGACACTTCGTTCATGTTCCAATTCTCAGAGCTTTTGAACGAATAACGGCGCTAATGTCGCCCATGATGCATCCAGTAACTAAATCTACTGGTGGGCGTTTCAATCGGATTAAAACACGAATCCTATTTCGTTTCGTTTTTATAGTTCAAAATTTAACGTGTTCTGAATGGTGTGAGGAATTAGCCAATGGAACGGTCTGTTTCGGCGAGCTTTAGGCGTGTTTTGCACGGAACCGTGGGTAATCCAGTAGTAACATCAATGCCGATTGATTAATCAAATGTCTGACGTCATAGGTTCAAAAGTCTCTCGTATGACCTCTGACGCGACCTATCGCTACAACATGCCAGATCTTCATGTAGTGTAGGCCATCGAAAATATAAAAAAAAAACGAAACAAAACATAGATCTGTATTTTAATCAAATTGGTGGGCGTTTATATTTAACAGTATTATCGTATTCCGTAACTTCAAGATTACAAATTCACCCATGGCCTAAGATAAAGCACTACGATGATTAGTCTCCTACTAATTAACCTATGGTTGGTAGACCAAATAAGGTAATGTCCCCTCCATTAGTCGTGTGAAATAAAGAGGTTTATTCCATGGGATGAAAATTAACGTCAAGGTTATCGAAGACCTGGCAGAAATTAGGGGGTATAAATTAGGGTGCAGAGCGAGTTGGATCAGAGCTCATTCAGAAATTCCTAGCACCCATTATTATTGAGAACGAGGAACCTACAAAGCCAGTACAGCTTAGCAATAAAGTTGTAATACCATTGATACTGTAGTCTTGTTACGATCACGAAGAAACAAACAAAGCAATAAAAGAAGTTCGATAGTACCACAATTGAACCGAATCATAGCCTAAAACATTCACAGTGTCATGCTGATTAATTTGATACCACATATGTTGTAACAGCCAGATGACTGTGATTGCGTACAGGGGTTTAAGTCTAAATACAAACTCATTGGGAATTGTCACAAATACAATACGTCTTGACCATTACTACAAAACATCTTTATAGTTCTTGGACATAAATATCATTATACAGTATTCGATGACGAAAATCGATAGCCTTTAATAATTCTTGAGCTGTCTGATTTCTAAAAATATAAATAAACTTTATGTTTACCACTTGTGAATGGTCATGACAAACATGACATGCAGAATATACAAACACCATGCGGTCTTCACTTGGAAGTATCCTTAAAAAATTACTACTACGACATTCAGCTTCACAAAAATCGATCTTGGTACATAAATATATATGCTTACAGATACGTTTGGCCCTTTTACTATTACTATAACACAAAATTATTTAATGTCGATCAGTCGTATGTATTTTCCATACTGAAGAAAGATAACTCTAAGTGATGTTCATAAAATAAATGCATGTCAGATTATTAAACCAAATATCAAAGGGACATAACTCCTGTATGCCTATGATATATTATTAAACAAATGGCATTTAGAATCAATACATACATAGATACACACGGACATCTTTGATGTTATTTATATAGATACTGAGAAGCAATGAAAAGAAAATGCAGCTGAACTGCGATATTTGCCATGATTGTAGTTTTGAAATTTGCAGACGCCATAACAATTATACTTTACAAAGGGAGGATGGATACGTTATTTGTTTCCTACTTGTAAGACAATATTTAGTTGGAAGACGTTCGTGGTATTTGTCAGAAATATATTTAATATATTATCTAATATTTATTAAAAGGCTACGTGTTTGTGTGAAGCGATCCATTGACCAGGGTATTTAACACACGATGTGTTGATACAGGGTGGATCTTTACTACATTCAGGATGTTTGCTTTCTGCATGTTAGAAAATATTCATACGCTCTTTCTATATTTAAAGCTCATATATTATCGTGTACAAAAAGCACGTTTTTTTATGAGATATTTGATTAAGACACGGTTTTAACCCGTTTTGTCCATCCGTAAAAGTAATCTGTTGTATATGTAAGGATACTGTATCTGTTTTTGTTTCATCTTTTATCCTGTGTTATCCACAATATTTAATTGTACTGTATTTAGGTGGTGTTTTTGTGTACGTGTTTGTTCCTCTTCTAGACTAGAGTCTGGATATGCATATTATCTAATAGTAGGCCGCCTAATGTGTCCATTCGATGTTGGTTCTGTTTTGTTATCAATTATCCTGGGGTAAGGGTATGTTACTGTAATCCTGTGTATGTATGTTATGTCTGTAATTTGTTCACCAGTTATCCAGTATGGCTTACTAGAGTATAAAATCGTGTATCTAATTATACTGTGATCCTATGTTGTATTTTTCAGTGTTGTATATTCTGTACGTGTTTTGCTGTACCGTTATCCTGTATTGTCAACTTGGCCATGGGTCACCTAAAAGGACGAATACTGATTATGTTACCGTTGTTCCTCAGTGCACAATATATAGGTAGTTCTTCTTTATAAAATATGTTTTTATTCTATGTTTCTAAATTAATTATTTAATGTATGCATAAACGAAAGCCATAAATTTAGCAAAAACTAGTAAACACACGTTGTGCTTATTAAAAACGGTTATTTAAATCCATAATATTATAATATTACTCATACACATTGTCTTTATAAGGATAACTATTCTTTGGATCGCAAGTCAGGAAAATGAAAAGCAAGTCCCCGTGACTAATGTTAGAAAATACACAAATTATGTAACAGTCCATTGTTTAGTATTTTATGTTTTCTTTTAGATTGTTTTAACTGCCCGGATTCGACTTCAGCTACAGGTACGTTTCATGCAATAGTTATAAAGTGTTAGAAGCCACGGTGGGTCAGTAGGTAAGGCGCTAGTTGGATCCCGGTGTTAGAGGAGAACGTCCACCGAGATTTTACAACTTTGTTTTCTCTTAATTGTCAGTTATACAGGATGGACGGCATGGCAAGAACACTGTCTAGTTGCTCAGATAGGACGAAAGCCTGAGGTACCGATTACATTTTGGCATGCACGTAAATGAATGCCAGACAGCTAAAGGTAGGACGTTAAACCCCCACCCATTCGTTCGTTCATTATAAAGTATGTCTATTGCGACGGCAATAATACATTGCATTATTTTAGAAATTCATAAGCCAATAATTCGGCAAATCATCTTAGGGGCGGAAGTCTGATTTAATAGGTTCCCATATTAATAATGTTCAAATTTATTCGGTATTTCCAGCTGTGTGTGGAAACTCATTTAAAAGAGGAAATCAAGTATATTTATCTGGTGTTAGACCAAACGATGCTGTTGAAAACTGTAAATGTTACTTGAGTTTAGAGAATGCTCCAGATACACCAGTTAATATTCGTCTGAGTTCTCTATTCCCACCTGGTAACTGTAATTTCACATGGATATTCAACACAGAAAGTGGTCCGAAATCTGTTGGATGTAATAATTTGCAGACGTTTACATTTAAATATCATTTAACTCCAGTTAAAGGTACCCTCGCTGACATTTTGTCTACATATGTTTGCAACTTCAGGTAAGATATTTTTGTTAAATAGTTTACTAGCTGTTTTTATGGCGTTGCACGGGTAGAGCCCTGGACCG